CTAAGTTACTTATCGGCCATGAAATGCTCTTGGAGACCCAACCTGTCTACTTCATTTTAACCAGATATGTGCTGGAATTCAGAATTTGGGGGTGTTATCAAGGTAATCTAGTATACTCCTTTTCTGGGCTGTTTATGATGGCTGAGGGCTTCTGCCGAGAGGAAATAGAGACCTAGCTCGGTTAGACATCAAGGCCTGCCAGCAGGGTTTGGGGACAAATGGCTTCCCGTTGGACTCTGGAGTCCAGGACCACATGACATGACCAGACCCCTAATTGTTTCAGCCATATTCATTCCTTCGCTCATTTACTTAATAACAAGAAATACATGTGAGTTGATCACCTAGTATGGAAGCAACTACATTAAAACTGGGCATTCTCTGTCATCAGGGAAATTACAGCCTGCCAGGAGGGTAGGGGGAGGCCTGGCCAACTACCAAGCAATTTGATGGTGTGATGAATGTCATGACTATGGTGACTGTGCATCCTGGATTGCCTTGGTCAGCCCTCATTTCCACCAGTTGTCCAGGCATCATGTGTATAGGTGCCCCCTTTCACTACCCTAGTGTCCTAGTTTTGAAAACAGATTACATCTTTTGTGAGTTATAATGGGTGCAGTCTGTGGAAGGATACAGGAGGGAGGGTCAGGGAAAGGTTCCTGAGGACTGAATCTTAGCCGAGTCCTGAATAACTGAGAAGGAGGAGGTAGTCCATGGTGAGGGCAGCACTCAGGTGGAGGAAATAACAAGTGCAAAGGATGAGAGAAGACAGGCCTCGGCACATGCAGTTTACACTGAAGATGGCGGGAGACAGATCTCAGAGTCTAGCTGTGTCGTGCTCTTCAGGGTTTAAACTCCTCAGGGCCACAGGAAGCCTCTGACAGGGTGGCAGGCAGGGAAGCACCACAACCTAGCCTCCGTGCAGAAGGACCACTGGGGCTGTGAATGGGAGTGGAGCTGGAATGGTGAGCTCCAGGGGCTGGTCGGCAAAGCCCTGAACTAGTGAGAGACTGTCTCAGCCACTCAGGGACTCAGGGATAGGCTGGCAACCTGGATGAGGGCAGAGGCTGTGGGCTGGAGAGAAGTGGATGGATGGATGGATAGATGGATGGATGGATGGATGGATGGATGGATGGATGGATGGATGGATGGATAGGGAGCTCTTTGGCAGGGGGAATAGACAGAACTTTGTTATTAATTGATCAATTGATTGGCTGTCATGGGGAAGAGAGAAGAGAGAGTTCAAGGTCGAGCCCACGCTTGAGCATGGAAGCGGATTGTGGAGCCTTCAGTGACACAGGGAGCATAGGGGGAGGAACAGGTGTAGAGGAGAGAGAGACGAGCTCATCTTTGGTCAGGACAAATGTGAAGCGTCCTTGCTGTATCTTGGCCTTTTCCAGGGCTTTAGGGTTGAAAGGGTAAAGACAAAGGGACATTTCAAAAAAAAATGACTCAGAAACACTCTTGAAACTGAATGAAACAAAAAGTCAAAGTGTACTGGAGCAGCCTTGTTACTGGCACGACGTGTCACCGGCTGCTGTTGTTTGGGAGGCAGTGAATTGAGCCTCCAACACCAAGCTCCTCTGTTTAGCTCAACAACAGAGAAGGTGTACAGAGGGCCCGTAAGCATCCCTCCCACCCAGCCTGAGCCCAGAATCCCCTGCTTCCAGCCTGAGCTCACAGCCTAGCTGAGCAGACTAGCGGTTACCAAATGGTCTCAGTCCTTTCTTGGGCTGAGGCAGGTTTGCAGCCTGATGGTGGGATGTGCTCAAGGACATTCACCAGCCCCCTGAGCCATCCACCAGGAGCATCAGTTCTCTTGCCTGTGCTTCCTCATCATCCCTCGGGCCACCGTGCAGTTTGGATGAGGACAAAGGCAAGAGGATTTGGTGTACTTTGGGCCAGAGATGATCAGAGCTTTAAATTGCCATTGCAGCCCTTGGATCTTCCAAGGTTGTTTGAAGCTCTCTACTGGACTGTCTGACCATTTTGGCTTTAGGTTCGTTGTTCACTGTTTATCAATATTATTCATCTGGGTCATGATCTAAGATGCTTAAGTGACTGGATAGCTGTAATAGTCCTACTCTTTCTAAGAAAAGAGTAAGAAAAATTGCTTCGTGGAACACCACTATCAATAGGGCTCTGCTCGATGGTGACACCGTGGTATGAGGAGTCCCCTCTATAGCACTGACGAAATCATCTCTCCTAAAACTGTCCGGTTCAGGGACTGGGATGAGCCCAGAGTCTGGACTGGGATAAGCCCGGAGCCTGGGTTCTAGAGATATCTGCAGATTTATTATTCACCGTCAGATGCTTCCTATTGTAATCTAGAAAGTCATCCTTTGCATGCAAAGCAAGACAATTCCAAATTCAAGTTTCATTTCATAAGTTGTTAGTGACCCAGGGCCAAGGTAAGCCTTTTAAAGAAAACCTGGAAAGAATTCTTGGCCCTAAAAATGCAAATAAGTAGAACCTGAACTATATATTTATATTTCACATAGCAGTCCCAGGAAACGTATGGGCATTTGGATTTTATAAAATGTGATGCGTTCTTTGGTTTTGTTATAATGGGAGTCTAGGCCTAGCTATTTTCCATGTTCTGTGTATAACTGGAATCATCATCAAGTATTTAAGCAAACAAAAATAATCATTTGAAAGCTATTTTTCATAAGCTCTTTAGTTCTCAATTCACTACAATGCCGCTCAGAAGGAAATGTTCCATTTTTTCCTATTGTAGTCCTGTCAGCAATAAAGCAATGACCAGTTCTCCAAATATAACATCAATTCCCTTTCAGCTTTTCTGAATAAAAACAAATCGACCAAAAGCCTAAATGTGTTTTCCTTCCAGGAAGACATTTTTTGATCAGGCCAGAATCTACAGAAGAACACCATCCTATTTATACCTGTGTAAAATAAACACTTGTTGTAATTTTGAGCCCTTCTGGAAAAACCAAATAATTTATCTCTGGGAAATGTTTTAATTTCTAAGATCTCCTTTGGCATCATGCAAATTCTCCTTTTAGCCCAGGGCATTCCTAATTAAAGTGCAAAGGTCTACAGATGCACCGATTCTATAAACTATGTAACTCGCTATTATTCCATTACCACTGAAGGGCAAGGTGCTGAACAGAAAATGGGGAAATGGTTGTCCCAGCTTCCATGCATAGCAGCAGTGGAAGGCCCTGAGGGAAGCGCTACATAGTCAACTCTTTCCTGGTGCAGGCGGAGAGAGAGAATTTGCAAGGATAACTCAGAACAATGGGCCATCTGCTCCAGGTTCTTTTTCCAACTTCAGTAACCTCTGAATCACAGATATAAGACATAAAATCCCAAGAGAATCTAGCAATAGTCAGCACAGGAACAGAGCCCCCAGAGTCTAACCAAGGGGTACAAGATTTTTCCTTCTGGTCCACAGCACCCTCTGATGTCTGCCCCTTAACAAACTGTTCTTCAGTCATCGAATAAATCATCATTTGCTTTATTAACAATCTTCTAAAATGGGAAAGCAAAAACATTTGCCCAAGGTATGAGCTGGCCAAGCCAAAGATCAAGCACAGAATAGAAAATGTTACAAGCTTTGCCACCTCCTCCCATCAATGCCAACTACGGGCTTATTTGGCATCCATAGGCCCTCTGCTTACCAGCAATTGTCCCCCCACCCCATGCCAGCTCAGCTGCTGGGACAGAAAGGGGCCTAAGAGATGGAGGATTTTGCTGACTCACACCACGTGAGGTCAAGAAAGAAGCGGGGAGCCACATTTTGCTGTAATACTTCTAATGGCATGGCCTCTAATGACTCAAAGGTGACCTGCATTGGCACCAGCTTTCACATCAGCCACTATGAAGTTCTCTTCTAAAGAGTTCAGAGTTAATCTAAGTTATTTGCTTCTGAGGAAACACTAGAAGATGCCATTATTATGGTGATCTGCAGTCAATGAAATCTGGTGTGACGGCTTCCCAGCTCCACTTATATCTAGAGCTCCATTCCTAAACTGTAAAGAATCCATGGGAGAAAAAGAATGTCACTCTACAGTACAAAGCAATGCAACCTTAGCTTAAACAGGAACACACTATGAGGCCCCAGATGAAAGGAAGTTTGGGACCTGGAGGGCTTGACACCAGGCGATAAACTTCAGTGATGGGCGGCGGGATGCTGGGCACCACTGAGAATGCTTTGGCATCCTTTCAATGTCAGGTGGCCTCAGAAGCCCTGTGACCCTGTGAAAGCCAACAGAAGGAGCCCTGGAATGCTTGGATCGGCCTCCTCCAAATCCGCAAGCTCACAGATCCTCTGTATCCAGCCCCACTGTGCTCCGGGGCCAGGGCCTGGCCACAGCTCTCAGGCAAGTTCTAGTGGGGCTTACCAAGACTCCCTGCACTCCCCTATCACTGCCACCTCCAAAGAACACACTTTCCTTTGCAAACACTCTTAAAATTAGCAATAAAAAAAGAAACTCAATTAGGACAAAATAATTATAACTAGCATTCATTCAGCAGATGGCATGTGTAATATGACAATTCCCCAATTTCCAAAGTCACCAACGTTTGAATATCCTTGGCTTTCCTTTTGTTGGTTGAAAGAGCAGAGAATATTTCAGTTAGAGATACATTACAAACCTCTATACTCCAGCCTCTCCTGGGTTCTGGGTTATAAGCCATATCTCATACTCCTTCAACAGTGTATTCAATTCCTAAAATGCTCAAAATACTATGGCTCATGGATAGAATCTCAAAACTATTGTAGAGGTGTCGGGGAGAGAGATTCAGTTCCTCTTCCATGATGTCCCTATTTTCTTCTCCTTCTCTTCTTTTTCCTTTAAGGGACCAGGGATCCATGGGACAAGATATTAAAACTCCAACCACTGCAAAAGGAAGTCACCAGTACACTCCACCACAATAGCCTTTTCACACCAAATTGTGGCTAATTCTGGCCAGAACCCAAGCTCATGAATCATGTTGCCAAGTTCCTGGGCTATGGTCACCTATTGGGTTGATGGCCTCAGGTATAAATGGTGCTGAAGCAGCCTCAGAGAATGCAGGAAAGTGAAGGCATTTTCTAAGAGGTACCCCTAGTGACTCCTTCTGAGCTCAGGGATGGGGCCATGCTGCACTGAGCTCCAGAATCAAAGTGAGGGGGACAGAGCCTGAGTTCACATCCTCGCTTCGCCATTTCCTAGCTGTGTGGCCATGGGCTGGCTCCTTCGTCTCCTTGTGCCTCGGTTTCCTCACCCATGAAATGGGGATAATGATAAAGCTACCTCAGAGAATTGAGATGAATCATGTAAAGTGCTTCACACACAGCTTCCCACATGCTTCATGTTTAATAAATGCTAGATACCATTAATATTGCAGTTCTGAACCAGAGGCTTAGACAGGCATGAGCTTGCTGCTTTCGATTCTAACCCAGGACAGAAACTCAGTGATCTTGTATAGAATTTAAAATTGCAGGACAGAAATAGCAGAAAGTCATTCATACTATGGAAATCCCCATTGATATGAACGTGTATTTATCTACCCTACACCTAGTTGTACTTGATCAACAGGAATCTCAAGAGTATTTGAAACCTCATGTATAGCCAAAGGATGTGGCTGTCTGTATTACTCATTTTGTTAGCAGAAAGTTTTACCGGAGTTGGCAGGTTACCCATAAATTATCACTGCTTTGTGGGGTGGGGGGAACCTGAGAGCATAGCTGAAGAGCAAGGACCCTCCCAGAATGGCAGAGTGGTCCCCATAGGCTTCAAGGTTTCGTCTAGGCACCAAGGTCCTATTGGGTCAGGGGGGAATCTCATAAGATCTCGTTTCCTCTCCAAACTCCATTTCCTAAGATTTAGGTGGAGCTGGAAATGTCCTCGAAGTAATCGTATCCTGAGAAACTGCCAATACTTCCTACCCGTGAGCACCACTGGGTGAGGGACATAAATGAGGGAAAGTTTTCCATCCTGCTAAAATAGTTAGATAGGAATCCTGGCTGAAGGTCACAATCAATTCAGCCTTTCTAATTCCTGAGGGGGACTTCAAATTGCATTTCAAAAGAGGCCAAGAGCCAAATTCTACAGAAATTTCTGGAGCTGGCCATAAATGAATCTTTCACAGAACTCCTAGAAGCAGTTGGATATTAACAAGGAGGAAAGAACAATTATCATTTGGGACTCAATGTGGCACTTTATGTCACTTTAAAGAATGAATAGACTTCCAGCTCCCCTCGGCTGTCTGCTCACAATTACAAAGCCGTGGTAAATAACCATGGCAAATGGCAGGTTTAATTTAGGAGAGGGAGATTGTATAGTGACTCGGCACTTTCTCTTCCTTTTCTGTGGCAAGTGGGACAGCTCCTGCCACTGTTTGGCATAAGTCCAGATCTGTGACTTTCAAAGAAATGCCCCGGTACTGTTTATTAAAGTGGACACACAAACACACAGCAAATGTACCAAAACACTTTTTTATTATTTTCACAAGGAAAGAATAATCATACCATGAGGCATGGTTTAATTTGCTCTCCAGTGGTTTTATTTAGTCAAAGGATCATGTTTGTCCATGCCAATAAAAATTTTGAGCGTTTTTAATAGAAAATGCATCTTTCCTTTTTCTCAGCACACTGGTTTCTGAGTACGCCACCTGAGCTCTACTCTGAGAAGATGTGTTGATAGGGTGAATACTTGTATGGGTAGGCCTTCTCTCCTTTTGCACCCATAATTCACTCTAAGGGGAGAGCAGGTTTTATACCCACTCTGAAAGGGGTCTAGACCCTGAGCAATGAAGACTTTGATCTGGGGCCCAAAAGCATCTTATCCAAACATGCTTTCATTTAATCTTGCAACTCAAGAATGATGGACCCTTCCAAAGTGATTTGGGAGGACCAAGGGCACAAAGGAAGGACTTGCAGGTATGCCCAAGGAGCCAGTTATCTGTGATACCCAGTCTCTGGGGAGAAGCTTTGCCTCTCAGAGAGGCAGGAGGGAAAATGTAAAGCATTCCTAAGGCAGGCAGTCTCCTCCTGGGGCTTTCCAGGGCAGTGAGGTTTTGTATACAGGAAAATGTACTGGCAAACGAGAGCTGCTCTAGGGAGATCCAAACACCTGAAATCCATGGTTGTGTTTTCCCCACCTGTCCTTCCAGTGACTGGTCCAGCCCTACCTATCTCTCACACCCGTGTCCCTAAGGCCCCCATCCAGGGTCATTTCCCATGACTGTATTTCTTGCCAACTCAACCCCAAATAAGGTTCAGGTTTCAGATAATACCCTTCCCAAAAGAATTTGCATATTAACAGAAAACCCTAAATCCTTTTCAAGTTTCAATTTAGTTCAACAAATTTCGATTGAGAGGACTCATTTCTTTCTACTGGGCATTAAGCATTGCACATATAAAGAGGTATGAGACAATGTTCTTACTTCAGGGAGGTCAAAGTCTAGCAAAAGAGGAGATATGTTGTCAAACATTTCTGATATATTTTGATAAATGTAATGAGAGAGGCCTGAGGCTCTGAGTGAAGGCCTGTGGAAGGCCCAGTGAAGAAATTCTCTGGTTGGGATACATGGATAGTGACAAAGAAAAGGTACTATTTGAATTGATCTGTGTATCCAGTCAGATTATGTTTGGCTGCATATAACAGAAAAATCCAAATAACAATAGTTTAATGAAAATAGAGGTTTTCATCTCATATAAAAGAAGTCCAGCATTAGACAATCTAGAGCTAGTAATGGAGTTCCATGATGTCATCAACATGCCTATGGTCCTCCTATCTTTCTCATCTACCATCCTTAGTATACAGCTTTTACCCTCAAGTTTACCTCATGGCCCCAAAATGGCTGCTGGAGCATGAGACAGTTCATTTAAGTTCTAGGCAAGGAAATAGAAAGGGCAAAATGGATGCTCTCTTTAAGGAGCTTCTCTAGAAATTCTATCCAACCAACTTTTTCCATTTCACTGGCTACCCAATCTGCTGAGAAAATATAACCTTCTATTGTAAGGAAGAAGGGGAGACTGGATATGGGTTAGGTAAGTAGCAATCTATCCCACAGGCTTTAAAGAAATAGTCCTCCCCAAAAGACAAAGTGAGGAATGACATTCCTGGTAATGGAAACAGAGCGTGCAAATAGAGAAGTCTGTGAAGTGTTTGATGGATATGGGAACTGTGAGTAGCCTAGAAAGGCCTTCCATGTCAATCTTAGTAAATTAATCTTGTTTTTTTTAAGTCAGTGGATTTTCTAACTTTGGAGTGTGTGTTGTGGTTATTGTTGTTCATAAGAACCCTTTAATTTGAATGGAATTTTATGTGGAACTTCAAGATAAAAAAGCTAAAAAGAGAAGTAGCTCTGGTTCAAGGTGGGATTAGAGGAAAACTCCAATAATAATAAGGTAGAGACTGGTAAATCCTAGGAGTGTAGAAGATAAGGGATTAATGGAATTTCAGAGGCAGTAACAGTTGAGCTCTGTCTGAATGAATTTAGGATTTCCAAGTGCCAAGGTGAAAAAAAAAAAAAGCTGTTCAAATGGAGGGAACAGCACATGCAAAGGCCCAGAGGAATAGTGATACATGAACAGGAAGCAGTGTATAATTTCACTTATCAGAAACTAAGGCTTGTGAAAGAGTGTGGGAATAAAGTTGGAAAGGTAAGTGGGGCAGGATCTACAGGGCAATGAAGTTCAAGTGTATAGCCAAGGACACACCATGAGTGGAGACCTCTGACCTCACCACTTGACAGTACGATAGCAGCAATCATGCCTTTGTATTCCAACTTCTTTTAATAATAAGCAGGATCCACTGTAACCTGAGTTCTCAATGCACATGGGCCTATTGATAAAACACAGTACATGAGGCCAGAATCTGCATCCATGTACCTCTAAAAGGCAAAATCCCACAGATTGGGTAAATCCACGACTTAGTCAGTTTAGGAGCTAATCCCTGGTGTCTCCCCACCAAAGAAATTGCAGCCTAACTCTGTAGGTCCCTAGTCGCACAGCCACTGAGTCCTTAAGTCAACCAGACCCAGAAAGTTAGGACCCTGAGGAGAGACCATGCTGGTATGCGCCCTCCCTCCTCTATGGAGCTCTCTATATACTTTCAGCCTATCAGTGTGGCACATGCTTTAAAAAATGATTTGCAAACTGTAGGAGGCTACCCATAATAGGTCATGGAATCATTGCAATAACTCAAGACCAGCACTTCTAAAGAAAAGTTAAGATAAGTTAAAATAAAATAAAATGGAAGAGACTGGGATAGACTATACTGTGGTAACAACATTTCCCAAGTCTCACTGGCCCACCCAGCTGCTTCATTCTCTCTTAAAAGCTATAAGGATGTGGGTGACCCTCATGTCCTCCATGTGCCTAAAGCTTAGTGATCCAGGCAGTTTTGATCTGTGTCTCCACTATCTCAGCCGAGGCCTCCTGGGTCACTATAGCAGGAAAAGAGCCAGCTGGAGGGTTACTTGCTGGCTTCCTATGTTTCAGTGTAAAAGTGACAATAATCACTTATGATCACAGCACATTGGCCAGAATTAGTCATGTAGTGCCACCGACTTCAAAGATACTGATTAACCTTTCAGATACCAGAAAGAGGAGAACTAGGTATTGGTGCAGTGAGCAATGTCTACTACAAGTATAATAGAAGACAGGTGGAAAGGAAGGGGAAAGATAGGGTAGGGTAGGGTAGGGTAGGGTAGGGTAGGGTAGGGTAGGGTAGGATAGGATAGGGACCAGGAACAGCTCCAAGTACATCACTCCAAGCATTTTTAGTTTTATATGTGTATGATTACACAGGTGTTGGGGCATGTACTGAGTAGCAATTGTGAAATGTATTTCCAAGTAGGAGTTAGAAGTGAAAAAAGTTTGAAAGTGACTGCATCTGACATAAAAATGTGCCTGGAGAGGACAAAGATTATTTATGGCATGTGACCCTGTAACAACATGTGTCTGCTCAAAGGAAGTCATTTCTAATGTCTCCTGATCAGGCTTCATTCCATAGCTCAAAAAATGACCCAATGTCACATACCCTGATTCATGTAACAA